CGCTTGTCGATGAAGGTGCCATGTCGTCAAGGGCAGATGTGACAACATCGCAGCTGTCAGCGTTAACGAAGATGGAGTCCGAGGACGAAGAGTACGGGATCGCAGCCGATGTCGAAGCTGAAATCGCGGCCGAACAGACTCCTTCGCTAGCGTAAATGCTTTCTTCCTCAATCCACTGACAAAACATGGTATTATAACGCATAAAGAACGAAAACATTCCTTTTTAATAAATTCAAAGTTTACCTCCAAACCGCTCAGCTGCTGCTTGAAGAAATCCGCGAAGCCGGGAACCGCGAAAGCGTGTAGACCACAGTAGTCAAGGAGACTCCCGTTGTTCTGCAAAGAACACACAATAACTATAGTCGAATTTCAACATTATGATTAATTAATTTATTTATTAATCGAAGATCGCAAATCACCTGCAGAAAAAATAGCTCCTTCGCGTTCTTATCGAACTGTTCGACCTGCTGCCGGATTTCGCCTAACTTCAGGGACAGAAGCTCCTGGCGGAGCCGGTCGGAGGTCATTTGCTCCAACTCCACCATCAACGTTAATCCAGTAGTCGGAAGTTCATCACCTCTGCTGGGTAATCACACGCGACTGTCGTCGTCATGTCTGCGAACCGCACCTGGTCATTCACGCAGGTTTCGGCAGCGCACACGCCATAGATGGCTGTCTGTAGGTGACTTCAATCGAAAACGAGTCAGCACGACTATGATGAATCAGACTGTTAAGAAACGCGGAAACTGAAACAAAATTCTGAATATGATTTTACTGAGTACACCTTAGAATTATGGTGACAGTGGCGCGTACATTGCAACAAAAACTTGTTGTAACTGCCTGTGCATTGTTCAGACACTTCCGTCGAAAATTGCTTTGCAGTAAGTGCTAGGATGCTCTGTTGCATGTAAAATCACACTATTTAAGCAGTTCTTATCAAACGAACAAAAAAGTTACCTACATAACACTTTCGTAAGAAATTATTTACAAACAAAAAGACAACGATTAAGAACAGTGAGAACTACCATCACCTAGCGATTTGCAGGTATTGTAGCAGTGCTTACTGTATGCCTTCGAATTCGATGTCATTTAACCGTACGTTGCATGTGAGCTACGGCGACTGAAACCGCAAAAGCCTATGAATGTTTTTCTGTGCTTGTTTCTTCTAGGTTTTCTGCTTTTTGCATTTTGTTGTTTTTAAAATTAGCCCTGTTTAATTTTCTGCTCTGTGGTGTTTTCTTTTTCATCTGGCACGGTGTGGTTTGAGGTCATGGGTCGGCTCACAAATATGAAAACTGATGGCTGCCAGGGCTCACTTAGCTTGTAACAGTGTTCAAGCACTAGTTGAATATGAGTTCCGTTTTACCGATTTCGCTGCGGTCACTTTTATTAGAGTTGTAGCAACCTTTACATTTGCGTAGGTTATGCAGTGCGAAGAGGGCTCTGTACTCGTTCAACATTGGCAAAAATTTTGCGGCATCTTGAATTCCTCAGATTTGTTCGTTGGTGAGGTATAAGATAAATTAATTTTTACTTGAATTCGTTATGCGCCCCCAGATTCCTGGCTTTGCATATGGTTTTTTGAATATTTGCTCAGAGTTTCGTGAAATCTCGGTAATGAGGTTGTGTCTGTGTTGAAGTCAGCACCTCGAACTGTTAGCATAACAAGGACGTCTCTAGTTGATGACATCCGTTGTAGTAGAAAGTTTTGCTGTAAGATACCTGTTACTGCATCGTTGGTAGAACGGTGCCTGTCCGAACGCAGATCTGTCTACCCGGTTCATCCCAGTTTTTTGTTGTTGTCCTGATCGACACCTGCCCTGTTTGAAATTTTACACGAAAAGCTCATGGTTTGGAGTAAATGGTGTTTGCCGAACCAGTTTCTCTCACACTGCTAGCCTCACTCTCTTGATACATTTACGGACTTCCTCTGGCTTGACGACAATGGTCATATCTTACTTCGTGCCGATACTTTAATCGTACGTCGAATCCAGATTGCTATCTGCTTGTTATCCAGAGTTATGACTTTTTCAGGCTATCTGCAGAAGACTGTAGACCATAATATGCAAGTTTCTTGACAACCGATTAAATACACATTTACACTGTCGGCTTTTGCAGTCCTTGCCAGAACGAAATTGTTGTTATTATCGTCATCTGGGGTATCAGCGTAAGTCATAGATTATCCATATTAATGATATCTGGCGCTCTGGCTTCTCAGAAGATCGGTTGGAGGTCAAATTACTTGGTGTTAAACTTTCGGATCTGTGAACGTACACCTCGCATCGCACTGGAGTCTCGTAACCGGTTCACGTTGGAACGAATTCGTACCATCGTTCCTTTCCAGAATAACGAGGCTCCCGCCGAGTAGTAGAAGTTTATTGCTAATCATTGCTGTATAAATGATAATTATGTGAACGAATCTTCATCTTTGCTGGTAT